GGTATAGCTCATGGCTTCACTGAGTTACGCAAGCCCCTTCGCCACGACAAGGCAGTGATCCATGAAGGGGTTATTGAACATCACAGTATTTCTAAATAGTATTTTTCAGTTATAATAAAGTTACCATGTCAGAGTATTTTCTGAACTTTACAGCATATAGGATAATTTGCAGTAATATAATTTTTCTGGAATATCTCTACAGAATTGTTACAGTTGAGCTGGTATTGCTCATAATTTTTCTGTGTTGTGGATATTTCAGGAGCCATATGAAGTAAAAGCTATTATTAATAAATTCTTAAATTCAGAATAGTCTATAAGCAAATAGAAGAGCTAATAGCCCAATGAAAGTTCTTCCTTTCAAAAGTAGCTGGCATTTTTACTGGCTCCCTCCTCCTTATTCCACTTCATAATGCTTTGCAGGATCATCCAAATCTCATAAACAGAATTTTGGCTGGAGTTTGTTTGAGGCTAAAGGAATAAGTGAAATTGTGTTCCCTTTCTCTGAATGGGAATTTCCATTGGGTGATCTCCACTTATGGAATCTCTCAATCTAATCCCTTAGCAAAAGTAGAATTATGTTAATTATGTAGTTTGGTCAAACTACTTTCTGTTTGCAAAATACATGTTCAAGAAAAAATTTCATGAGAGAGAAGAGAGAAAAAGATCACAAATATTTTATACCCACTTTGAAAATAGAAGCAGATGCAACATGCTTCTTTGTCATTTAAAAAATATGGCATTGTCCTTGAACTGTAGAGTCCCAAAACCCAAAGCCACTCAGTCTTGCCAGGGTTCAGTTGCTGACTGTTGATCCCCATCCAGACCCCTACAGCCTCCAGACACTGGAATAGGGCATGAACAGCATCACTTAATTTGCTAGAGGCAGAAAGATATAATTGGGTTCCACCAGCTTACTCCGCACCCCATGGCAATGGGTGGTCTCACTCAGTGGCTTCATGTAGACGTTAAAAAGGAGAGGTGAGAGCACTGACCCCTGCGGAACCCCACAAAGTAGGGGCCAAGGATGGGATCAGTTGATTAACACCAACTGGAACTAATCCCAGAGACAGGAGGTGAACCAGCACAATATAGTGCCACCCACCCCCAATCCCTGGAGCTCATCCAGAAGGATAGCTTGGTCGATGGTATCAAAGGCTGCTTTATATATTTAATGGACTGTCAAAAGTTTAATGTTGCATTTTTGCTGAATGTTTGATAATAGTAATCTGAAAGAGGAAATAGAAAGCACATTCACTACATTTGCACATGATAGAAAACTAGATTGCGGAAAACAGCTGGAAACACAGCAGGAATATATGAATTGATCTGTTGAGGTTTCAGTAATGTGCAGGTATTAATGACAAGATTTGCTAGAGTAGGGGAAATGAAAAGAATAATATCCAGACTACTGGGAAGAGAATGGGAGAAGTAGGAATATTAACAAAATAGAAGGTTATTAGCCATCTACTTATTGGGCATAATTTTTCTTATTAAAACATTCCTTTTAAATGTTTCAGTCTAGAAATTCAACATATAGTTCTTGACTATGTGATTTTTTTATAATCTTCAAAAAAAATTCCAACTTGTTTTTATCGTTCTGAGGTTGATCAACAGTGTGGTCTACATACTGTCGTGGTTTTTAAAATATTGTTTGCAACTTACTGTTTTTATGCTTTTATCACCTGCTACTATAGCAAGTTTCTGCTTTACTTTCCTCCTATCAGTTCCTTTAAAATTATGTGTGTGACTATGTTGAGGTTGCCAATGTTCAGGACTCTGTATCGTAGTAATAGTGGACTTGTGCTAAGAAACGTCTGCTTTGAGTTCATCTACTAAGTTTAATAACTAAATTTTCACTGCTTCATTATCCTGCTTACTATTTCATAAGATCTGACAATAATAATAAAGAAAAGCTCCATGTGCATTGCCCTATTATCCTTGGATTTTATAAAATATTGATAAGCAAACTGAGTTTCTAAATGTATTTGTTCAGTATGATTCCTCCAATATTGTCCATAGAAGACTTGCTTGATACGCTTTGCAATATTGTGTTATTTTTATTCAGAAGTACTCTTCTAATTGTTTTTGACAATATTATGCCTGAACTATGGAAAGTTGGGAAATTATGACTTTTAGAATGAACTGAATGAAATTTAAACATTGTGTATAAACATGCATTGATTTTATTAGCAATGAAACACAAAAATACAACATGTAGCAAGATTGAAATTGTATTTTATTTATTGATTGCTTGTATAGCTAATTGTCTATTGAAGATGAATCCAGTATATTTTCTTGTATTCTAACGATCTGTCTTTTCCATCTAATAATCAACAAGGCTTTCAATTTTTAATGTCAGTTGTAGATACTTTTAAAATGACTATCGGCATTTACAGTTTTTCCCCCCCACCTAAGATGAAAATCAATATGGATACATTATGTAGTAAGGAGAAATAATCAGATGAACATTCTGTGCTCTTTCTCTCTCCCCCACCCCCCAAGCTCTGTCTTATAAGACAGATGTACAAATGAATTTCAGGACCTTTTATATTCAAATAATTTTTGCTTTCTTTTATCCTAGTTTAGACTTGGATCGTTGATATTACAAAGGGTTACAAACTCAGCTGAAGTCATTAGAGAGTTGATTAACTATTGCCTAGACTGTGTAAAAGAACTACATGCTAAAAATGATCACCTGCAAAAAGAGAATGAAAGGCTTCTGAGTGATCTGGATGACATGCAAGACCAGTAAGTTGACAAATAATATTCACGTTTTTTTAAACCTTCTGATTCCCCCAGACTTCTCATCATGTGAACATAATGCTAGCCCATTTCATTATTACATATTTAACCTCATTTACTAAATATTATAATATGCACATTAATCTGAAGTTTATAAATATGGGCATTGCAGTATTTATGCTTCATTCAATAATATGGTAAATTTTAAAAAATGTGAATGTACAGATATGCTATAAATTTATTTGGAGAAATTCCAAATAGTCTTCTCATATGTAAATAACTTCAGTTATATGGAATGTACAAAATGTATATTATATGGAATATACAAAATATATACAAAAAAGAAAAGTATTAAATAGATAGACAATTTACCTTATGTTAGTAATTACAAAAATAAAATTCTAGCAGCTTTTTCAGGAAGTCTTCCGTGTCAGAATCACAAATTTTACCTTGGTACTTCTGGGCTCCTTTTAGAAAGGTGAAATTCTTTAGGCAATTTTTTCTTTTTCTTTTTTCTTCCTCCTCTTTAGCAAACATTCCTGACATTGAAACTAAAAGGAGAAAATTAATACAGGTAGTCTCCAGTTTAAGAATGAGTTCCATTCCCAAGGTCTGTCCTTAAGTCAAATTTGTATGTAA